TTATGCCACTTGGTCTCACCAAGACCAGGCAGGATTATTCCACTGTCCTTAGTTAAGAACTGAGAAAAAAATTAATACAATGAGAGAGAAGAAATGGAAATCTCCTTGAAGTAGACAGATTCTCCTATTTTTTTTCCTATTTGCTTTTGTTGAATTTTTTTTCCCCCCACAGAAATTTCATATCTGGTAATGCAGAAATGTATTTAGGATAAGCTAAGAAATTTGCTATTTGAGAATAATTGGAACAGTCCAATAAAAAAATCATATTTGCAAGCTATAGATTTTTAAATGGTTACAGTGTTCAGTCATTTCATACAGAATTTGGTAAATAATGTGAAAAATCTAGAAATTTCTCATCAGAACAAAAGGCAATATCTTTTGTTCATTACCTTTTTTAATTTACTATTTTAGAGATATTAACCGTAGTATGATGCTTCTAAATATTGATTATAGTTTTAAGCTCCAGTTGATCCAGATTTTTAAAATAAAACTATGGTAATTAAGGAAGCAAAAACTAGTATTTTATCAGGTTTACTTTGTACATATTCAGGTAGGTCTAAGGTATGCAAGACATTTATTTAAAGTTGCTGATCTGCCTAGTGATGGAGAGCTGTTAAAGCACAGCCTGCTCCTTCCCAGTGACACTGCAAGTTTAGCTCTTTTGGATTTTGGATGCCTGTCCCTCTGAAAGATGTGTATTTTAAGTGGACATGTTAGGATTGTAAAGTGGTCAGAATATGTATGAGAGGTGAGTTAAACACATTGTCTTTCTTGAACTGAGTACTGTGTTCTCTTTATTCTCTATTTTGTGTGTCAGTTAAGGCAGCTTCTTCCTTTAGTGTCACTTTTGGGTGATTTCCATTTCAGTGGAAATGGAAATCCAGAGAAGCTAGTCTGCCTCACTTAAATCAGTGTGGTGAGGTGCAGAGTACCCGTGTGTTTTCCTGAATGGATTTACTCTGCCATATGGCAGGTTAGTGAGTCGCCACGACAGATTTGTAATGGGAAAAGGGCTGTGCAGGAAAGGATGTGCGTGATCAGCAGATTTATAGATCAGAAAATGAAATCAGAAGAGTTTCCAGAGTGCCCTTTTCATCTGATGGTTCTCCACGGAGAAAGTGTGGAATGGTTTTTTTGTGTGTGTTTTTCTATTTTGGCTTTTAGTTGTTCCAGCATACTTTTTCTAGCACAGGAGTTGATTTCAAAAGGCATCAGTGTTCTGGTGTTATGTTGCTGTATTCCCATTCACAGAAATATTCTCTGTAGGATTTGAAGCTGTGCTGTTAAATGTGGTAAGATCTCAGTAGCAATTAACTTCCTGAAGACACATGAAGCTTCCTATTGGCTAAAATTGGGATTTGCCAGGTTTTGAGTTGTAAGAAGCTATTCAAATATGATTCAGTGAGTACCGAATCTTTCAAAGGACAGGAAACAAAAAGCAAAGCCAAGTGAGCTAAAGATATGTCCTTATATATTTAAGTCTGCGCTATCTAACACTGCAGTCACTAACCATGTGTGGCTATTTAAATTTGAATTAATTAAAAGTAAATAAAATTAGCCACGACTGATGTGGCTCAGTGTGTTTAAATGTGTGTTTAATGGGTTGGGCGTTGTTCTGCAAACCAAAAGGTCATCAGTTCGATTCCCGGTCAGGGCATGTGCCTAGGTTGTAGGCCAGGTCCCCGGTTGGGGGTAAGAGAGGCAACCAGTCGATGTTTCTCTTGCACATCAATGTTTCTCTTCCTCTCTTCCTCCCTCTCTTCCCCTCTCTCTAAAAATAAATAAAATCTTTACAAAATAAAAATAAAAGTATATAAAATTAAAAGTTCCAGAAGTCGCTGCAGCCTGCAGTCTTACCAGTCACATTTTAGGTGCTCAGTAGGCGCGCGTGGCTCCTTGGCACCGTGCGGACAGTGCGGACAAGCAACATCTTCCTCGCTGTAGAAGCTCTTTCGGGCAGTTGGCCTAACAGGAAGGTTTTGAGAAATAAAATTCTTTAATTTCTATGAGGAGTTCTCATCCCTATATAATTTATTGAACTTCATGCAGTGGTTCTAAGGTGTTAATGTGTGCATGGGTCATCTGTAGAACCTGTTTAAAACGGGGATTCTAGACTCTTCCCCAGGCTCTGGCTCCTACGGTTTGAAGTCATGACCAGAGAGCGGTACAGGTAAGTATACAAGGGAATTCTGATGCTGGTAGGTGGTTTAGGAAATACATTTTGAAAAATATTAGAGAAACTTGAGAATTTTTCTCCCTCCTGATATTTTCCCCCTTTTATTCTGTCATTACTGACTTTCTTTTGTGTTTCCAGTAATTGATTGAAAGTATTAGCATCTTGTATACTCAAGTTCATTGGTAATAAGTAGACAAAAGAAAATTTATTTATTATTTCATCTTTTTCTTAAGATCTTATTTATTTATTTTTAGAGAGTGAGGGGAAGAGAGGGAGAGAAACATCAGTGTGAGAGAGAAACATGGGTCAGTTGCCTCTCGCACGCCCCCAGTCGGGGACCTGGCCCACAACCTAGGCCTGGGCCCAGACACGGAATCGAAGCAGCTGAGCCATACCAGTCAGAGCTATTTCATCTGTTTCATGTGTGTTTTAATTTGGTTCTGCTCTACAGAAAGTACCATTTTGGACTGCGTGGGAAGGTAATTCTAACAGAGCACCTTTGACCACTAGGAGTCGAGTACCCACAAGTCTTGAAATTACAAAGGAGTATTAAAAAAGGAACATGACACACGATCCCCTCTCTGAAGGATATTACGCCTTGTTAGGAAATGGATAAATACATCTAGAGAAATGACTTAAAGGGCACTTAGCAACAAGTTAATAATTAGAAAAATAATATAGCAAAAACTAAATCCTGCCAGTACTCCAAAGAAAAGCATGATCTGACTTGACTGGATATTATCTAAGTTGCTTTCCTTCGTGTGGTTTAAGGGTTTCTTTCTTTTTTTTTTTTTTCTTTTTAGATTTTATTTATTTTTAGAAGGGAAGGAGAGAGAGAAACATCAATGTATGGGTGCCTTTTGTGCGCCCCCTGCTGGGAACTGGCTTGCAGGGAACTGGCCTGCAACCCAGGTACGTGCCCTGACTGGGAATTGAACTGTGATCCTCTGGTTCGCAGGCCTGTGCTCAATCCACTGAGCTACACCAGCCAGGGCCTAAGGGTTTCTTTTATAGAGACATGCCTCTGCCATCTGAAATGGGTAGTGAAAAATGGGAAGGATCTCTAATTTGGTCCTGTGGGTTTTGGCAATAGAACCAGCCCAAAATGGCATCTGGAAAACTTAGAGACTACTCAGAGTGCACTACACTAGACTTAGAACTTCTCTGGGTGACCCCATAATCATGAAACCACATTTGCATTTCACAGGAATGAAAGTGGAGACGAAATGGAGGTGAAGCAAGTTCTCTTTCTAAGAGGCGCTACCTGTAGGGAATTTTAAATACCAGTACTCGGGGTGGGGGTATGTGCCAAGGTTCCAAAGAATAAAAAGGTCACTTTTAAAATAATTGGTTAGTATCTTTCCTTGGAGAACTTACCCATTAGGCTTCTCTGATGAACACTACTGAAGAAACAATGTAGGAAGACAAAAAAAAGAAAACAAACAAACACTTCAGTTTGTTGCCACTGTTTTAAAAAGCATTTTCACATACATGATGTGGAAGATTTGTTCCTTTTGTCTTGGTAGTTTAGTTACATACTGTAATACCAGTAGCCATGCCACCTCTTGTCCTAAGAGTCAGACCTATTATATTCTGTATTTACCCACCCTTTCAGTAAAGAAAGGAAAAGTTTTTCCACCTTTCTACAAGATGTGCATGTTCTTTTCAAAAAGAGACATTTTCTTACTCATTCAGGGCTGCTATGCCAAAAATACCGCACACTGTGTGTCTTACAAACAACAAACATTTATTTCTCACAGTTCTGGAGGCTGGGAAGTCCGAGATCGTGGCACCAGGTTCCATGTCCAGTAAGGACTTCCTGGTTCATAGCCATACACAGCTCTTCACTGTGTCCCCACAGGGCAGAAGGGGCGAAGGAGTCTTTTCTAAGGGCACTAAGTTAGTCTCATTGGTGAGAGCTCATCCCAGAAAGGTCAAGCCATTTATGATCTAATCACCTTCCAAAGGCCCCCACTCCTAATACCATCTTCCAGGAGGATACATTTTAGCATATGAATGGGGGGAACACAGATGGACCACAGTAAATGTACACAATGTTAACTTAGATGGAGGCTCACAGTCTACTTCCTCCATCAGGTTCTTCGGACTCAGGAAAATAAAAGTGATATTTTGTACTGTAGATAACTTTTTCTTTCTTACTTTTACCTTATCCTGTTGTCTGTGCTTTGAAATACACCGAGACCTACCTAAGATTGCCTTTTTGGTTGAAGGTCTTCCTCTCTCCTGCTGATGTTTGACACACTGTCTGTGTCTCCTCCTCTCCCCTCCCCCCGTCCCATTCTTCGTACAGCCAGTCGTGTCTTGATCAGTATGAGATGTAGAAGCTTCCTTTCCAGGACGTCATCAGTGCAGAAGTGGTTGAGAATGCAAGTTTCTTTCTCCTGGTGACTACTCAGGTACAATGTGAAATAAAGGTAATCCTAAGGAACACAAAATCAGCCTCATATAAAAATTAGCTGATTAAAATAGGCTTAAAAAATGGAAAGTTTCAAACTGGTGCTAAGGCCCTCCATATAGTACTTTATGATTCTTCCTTTTTAGGGAATTTGCCTTTCTGTAATCCTCATGCCGCACCAAGTTTTCTTTTCTTTTTTTAACTTCCAAAGGAACCAATTTTGAATTGAGAATGAGTATTGAGTTGAAAATGTCAGTTGTAAGCCTTTTTCTAGGAAAATATTTTTGCTGAAAGCTTTGTCTCTCTCTCTCTCTCTCTCTCTCTCTCTCTCTCTCTCTCTCTCTCTCTCTCTCTCTCTCTCTCTCTCTCTCTGGCCCTGTTGTGGCAGGTTGAAAGAGTGGAGCCTTTTGTAAGACATGGATAGATGCAAACATGTAGGGCGCTTGCGGCTGGCCCAGGACCACTCCATCCTGAACCCTCAGAAGTGGTGCTGTAGGGAGTGCACCACCACGGAGTCGGTGTGGGCTTGTCTCAAGTGCTCCCACGTGGCCTGTGGCCGCTACATCGAGGACCACGCCCTTAAACACTTTGAAGAAACTGGACACCCACTTGCCATGGAGGTCCGGGATCTCTACGTATTCTGTTACCTGTGCAAGGATTACGTGCTCAATGATAACCCAGAGGGGGACCTGAAGCTGCTGAGAAGCTCCCTCCTGGCGGTCAGGGGCCAGAAGCAGGACCCGCCTGGGAGACGAGGCCGGTCACTGCGGTCCATGGCCTGTGGTGAGGACACGTCCCCTCCACCGTGCACTCCTCAGGGACAGCCGCAGATGCTCACGGCTCTGTGGTACCGGCGCCAGCGCCTGCTAGCCAAGACGCTCCGACTCTGGTTCGAGAAGAGTTCCCGTGGTCAGGCAAAACTGGAGCAGCAGCGGCGCGAGGAGGCACTGGAGCGCAAGAAGGAAGCGGCACGACAGCGGCGGCTCGAGGTCAAACGGCGGCTGCTGGAAGAGCTGGCCAGTGCCCCTCCACGCAAGAGCGCACGCCTTCTGCTGCACACACCCCGCGCCGCTGCCCCGCGCCCCGCCACCCCGCGCACGCCCACCACTGGCCGCCTTCCCCCGCGACGTACACCAGCTGTGGCTCCGGGCGTCACCGGCCTCCGCAACCTGGGCAACACCTGCTACATGAACTCTATCCTGCAGGTGCTCAGCCACCTCCAAAAGTTCCGAGAGTGTTTCCTGAACCTCGACCCTTCCAAAACAGAACAACTCTTTTCCAGAGCCACCAATGGGAAGGCGTCCCTCTCGGGCAGGTTGGCCAGCAGCTCCACCATGGAGCTGTCACCAAGGAGTGACAGGGCTGAGTATTGCGAGCAGGACCGCCTCCGTTGGAATGGTGGGGCCTCCATCACCAGGAGTCTAGAACTCATCCAGAACAAGGAGCCCAGCTCAAAGCACATCTCCCTTTGCCACGAACTGCACACCCTGTTCCGAGTCATGTGGTCCGGGAAGTGGGCCCTGGTGTCACCCTTCGCCATGCTTCACTCCGTGTGGAGTCTGATCCCCGCCTTCCGTGGCTACGACCAGCAGGACGCTCAGGAGTTTCTCTGCGAGCTGTTGCACAAAGTGCAGCAGGAACTCGAGTCTGAGGGCACGGCGCGCCGGATCCTCATCCCCTTCTCCCAGAGGAAGCTCACCAAACAGGTCTTAAAGGTGGTGAACACCATATTTCACGGGCAGCTACTCAGTCAGGTAGGTGTGTGTCCACCCTATCCCAGCTCTGCCCATGACGTTGGAGGGTGGCTTGTTAGAGTTTGGCCTCCGGGTGAACTTGCCATATCACTTCATTTCAGTGAATGTTGCTAACCTTTAAGGACAACATGGGTAATGTAATATTCTCATTATGATTAAGTACCCTTGGTTGGCATACAATCCTTTGATCAGTTTTAGGAAATTGAATAATTTGCCTGTAACCCTGGTTCCACAGTAGCTTAAAGAGTATTATTCTTCCTAATTAGACATTCTTCACATACAAGGAAGGGAGGAACATGGCTAGGAGGCTGCCGAAGGCCCAAACAAGCCTCCCTCCTGTTCCCCATTACCTTTCATTTTCTAGATCTTTAGCCATGTAGGGACAGAAGCAAAGACTCACAGATAAGGCTTTGTGAGAAAATGAAGAAAGGGAATTTTTAAAGTTAAAAATGTAGGCCACTTCAGAGACTCAGGTAAAACCTCCATGCTAACCGAGGTTTGGGTGTTGATATTGAAGGTTTTAAAAGAATGCTGAGTGAGATGGGGAGAGAAAGTTTATGTAGGCTGTTAGCATTTGAAAGGGGAGTATTTATCGGCATTTCCTATTGCTCTGAGGTCCGTAGGAAGAGAGGAGCATCCGAGGAGTCCTAGTCACAGGTACTGGGAGTCTCTGTGGACACAGGGTCAAGGACGCTACAAGAACTAGGGGCCAAAAGAGGCAAGTTAGGACCGCATGGAGGGAGCAAAGGCTCGAAGAGGAAGGAGTGTGGGGACGAGAGAAACAGACGGGAGTCTGCAGATTCTCCATCGCAGGCAGATTTCAGGGTAACCCGCAGCCTGCACCGCGGCAGTGAGTCCGGTAGAGCATGTGCTTTGGACGAGGAGGAGAGAGGAAGGTGCGGGTAAGGGCCTCTGTGCGCGGTGGTTTTCCAGGTGCAGCTAGAATCACGTTGTTAGAAATATACACAGAAGTAACATGCTCCGATTCTCTTAAAGTTATGTTTAATATTATAATTAAAATATTTTTTGAAAATCGTACACACTCTGGCTTGTGTGGCTCAGCTGGTTGAGCTCTGGCCAGTGAACCAAAAGGTCCCTTGTTCAATTCTCAGCCAGGGCATGTGCCTGGGTTGCAGGCCACGGTTGGGGGCGTGCAAGAGGCAACCAGTTAATGTTCCTCTTACACATTGCTGTTTTCCTCCTTCTCTTTCTCTCTCCCTTCCCCTTTCCCTAAAAAATAAAATATTTTTTAAAAGCAGTACACTTAGTTTGGGTCAAGTTATGTGTCATGTATAAATCAAGCAAAAATGTATGTGGGAAGCATGGAGTTATAACCTGTAAATCAATCTTTTAATTCTAGGTCACATGTATATCATGCAATTACAAATCCAACACCATTGAGCCCTTTTGGGATCTGTCCCTGGAATTCCCTGAACGCTATCACTGCATAGAAAAGGGGTTTGTCCCTTCGGATCAGACAGAGTGCCTGCTCACTGAGATGCTGGCCAAGTTCACAGAGACAGAGGCCCTAGAAGGGAGAATCTACGCCTGTGACCAGTGTAACAGTGAGTGCTGGGGCTGGGGGTGGGGGGGCGTGTGAGCGACTAGAGTATCAGTTTAAGGCACCTCTTTTAATCGAGAGTCACACTGATAATACTGAGTGATTCGAAAGCATGTTTTCCCTCCCATTATACTGAAAATAAGCATATAAACCCTATCACAAAACAAAACCAACCCTAGGAGTACTGAGTGCCTCCTTTGACTTCTGGTGTGATTGACATTAGCTGTTATCGTGGGAGGCACTTGAAAGTGTGGGTCCTGAAATGGGGACTCCAAGAATGTGAGTGCTTATTAGCTTCATAGTGCTACATAGGTGCTCCCTGAAGTTCATGAATATAGAGTCTGACAGTTCTTATTTCATCTAAATTCAGGTGACATAGTCTGTTTGAGGGCTATGGCATCAAAAAAGTGTACTTTTGTACTGAACTTGTAGATTTAAAGTAACAGAAGAGATGCTAAAGGTCTGTACAATAAGATCAGGAAAGCAAGTCGTAAGGTGCATTGCTCTGTGGAAGTACATTCTGCATTTGTTTCTTCACAAGCTTGAAAGGTTGGCATTTTGGAGGGGGTCAAAAGGAAGTGTTTCTCTATCGTGGCTTTAATTTTAAAGTGGAACTCTTTCCATTTGGTTTCCTGGGCACCTTACACAGGGATGCCCTGTGTAAGGGAGGCCTCTTCTGCCCCGTCACACCAATGCTCAGTACTTCTGTTAACTTGGCATGTGCCACGGAAATGCAGAGCAAATGTTTAGAAGCTCATGTGTGAGTTTGTTAGTGTATAAAGACTTGGAAACTAAAATTAATGGATTGTGCAGAGATCTAGAAATCAACTTGCCATATAATAGTTGTACATGTTTTGGGAACAAAAATCTTATAATTGTCCATTTTAATTATTTGCATATTTTTTCATTGTAAATTGTGGGAAACCTGTTCTCTGAAGAATCAGGACAAATGTCAAAAGTAATACTTGATATTACTTTACTATTTTAAAACAAAATTTGAAATGCTGTACTTGATTAACTGTAGACTCACGTATCCTGATCTATACTGAGATACCTAGGCAGTGACTTAAATTATCTTATTAGAGCAGTATCAGTTTTTAAAAATATTTATTCATAAAACTTTTTACTTGTAAGGGACAGCAGAAGGATGTAAACAGCTTTAATTCCATCATTCTCGGACTTGATAGATTAGGCAAGAAATCCCTTTATTTATCTTTGCAAGAAAAGGTGGTTTTTCTGGTCGCCAGACGTGCTGGTTTGTTGAGGTTTCTGCAGGCAGGCTCACATGACGGCAGGGAAGGAGAGCTACGGTAAAGGGAAGGGATGAAGTGACTCTTTTGCTTGTGAGTTTTCAAAACTATGAGCCTTCCACCTCTCTTTGTGACCAGCTTAATCAAATGGAGACAGAACCGATCAATCTCAATTGAATCAGTAATTTCTTTTTCTTTGTGAATTTCATTTTCGGAAAACAAAGCCAGAGTCTATGTGGCCTTCATTTTAGCTCATCTACTCCCTCTGCTGACAGTGGCAGTCACTGCCAGGGTTCCCAGGTTACAATAATTTTCAAAAATCTGCTGGTGAATAGGAATGTAAAATAAGGCCAGGCGCTGCTTTGAATTCTCTTTCTGTTCACGCCCCCACACGTCCTGACTGGCAGCCCTAGCGGATGCGGTGGCACACTCGCTCTGCTGTGGTCCATATGAGAAGCCACAGCCCCACGTCCTGTTATCACAGAAGGTGCGGGCAGGACTCGGAATCACATCTCAAGCTCTTTAGACACTGAGACCATGGTATCAGCTCATAGACAAGTATTAGCAGGCACCACAAGTGGACCACTAACTAATTTCATATTCCTATCCATTCACCAGCTTAGTTAATAACAGCAGTCATCAGTAAATGGTTATAGAGAAGGCTGCTAAAGGAAATGAAGAGCTTTGTTCCCACCGGCCAGCCTGTCAGCCTTGTCCTGCAGGTCCAGCAGTGTGCTTTTTATCCAAGGAATGTACTTCCAAAACTAACTACATCATAAAAGTGTAAAACCAAAAAAAGTTCTTTTCTAAATATTTGTATATGCCACAAGCTTATCATGCTGGGGGGAAATCTGTTTAAATACTTTGTCCCTTAGTAATACTGTATTTCTTACCTTTTTCCAAATAATACATGCATTATTCCCCATTGCACAGGAAAGCAAACTGAGATTCAGAGTTTTGAGTAACTTGTCCAATAGCGCATACAACTAGCTGTGAGCAGGAAATAGAATTAGGCCTTTCCGATGAAAACAAAAAGCTCTTAAAGACATATTATGATATATCATAATTTAAGTTGTAAGCCCGTATTTAAAGGCCTAGAACCCTAACATATGCCTCTGTGTGCATGTTATTGTGGTGACCTTGCATGATATTCCACTAAAGCCCATGACATCAGGAGTGTGTCATGCTAAACCCACACATATTTTGGAAATTGCTGATGGCAAACATGAAAGTGGATGTATCAGAATTAGGTTTAGCTGCTGTTAAGTCAACTCAAATAACAATGACTTAAAATGAGACATATTTTTTTCTTCTGTTATGTAAAAGAAGTCCGAAGGACATTCTGGGGCTTGCATTCCCAAGTCCCTTCCATCTTTCAGGTTTGCTGCCTTAGTTCAGGGCTCCCATCCTCAAGATTACCTCATGGTCCCAGAGGAATTCCAATGCTTGTGAACAGCAGGAAGGACAAAGGATGTATCCTACGACTGAGTCAGCCCTCTTGAAGCTGCCATCCCAAGAATGCCACACAGTCAGTCATTCAGTTCATCTCTGCCAGGACTCCCACGGCCACGGCATGTAGACGTGAGGCTGGGAAATGCAGTCAGAGAGGGTCATATAGCTGCCCAGAGAAAACTGAGGTTTAAATATTAGAAATAAGGAAAGTGTGTACTGAATGCCAAGTCATCGTCTCCACCACAGCTGGGAAAAATGAGACTCCTCACCATCTATGTCTTGTACCTTTCCAAACCATATAGGCAAACGACGAAGATCCAATCCCAAACCCCTTGTTCTGAGTGAAGCTAGAAAGCAGTTAATGATCTACAGACTACCTCAGGTCCTCCGGCTGCACCTTAAAAGATTCAGGTGAGCTTGCTCTTGGGCACCCCAGGTGGCTGTAAACTGTAGGAACAACTGCTTCAAAAGCAAATGGTGAAGACACAAGTCTCTGCTGTTGGGAGGGGATGATGGTTCCTTAAGGAGCTTGTGCTTTCCATGGAGATTCCAATGTACCATGCGCAGGGAGGCACATTGATGTTGGGGCCCAGCAGGTCCGGCTTCTGTTCTCATGGCCCCATTTAACTGGCCAGCCTGCACCAGGTGTCTGTGCTTAAAGATTTTCTAGCCTCACTTGTGCTTATAGAAAGTCATCTTTAGAATCAAGTATGAGATAATCTGCAAAAAGAAGGGCAGGCAGTAAGCTACAAAAGATTATTGCCTGAATCGGTTGTTTAGGGATCTGTAGTTTCAGGATACATCATGGCACATTCACAAGAAATATATGCGTACATTGACTATTACTGTTTTATTGGTGTGAAAACCAAAGCCTGAGGGTTTTCTCAGTTCCCAGTTTTACCTATATGAGGTGGTACTAAAAAAAAACAAACAAAAAAACCTCAGGATTTATAAAAACTGTATTCCTACATGTTTAAACTTCTGTCACCTTCAAAGTACTCTCCATTTGATGCACTACATCTGTAAGACATTTTTTCCACTGCTCAAAAGAGTTTTTGAACTTGTTGATTTTGATGCCTTTTAGTGCTTCTATCGTTTTTCATTTCAACTCTTCCACATCAGGAAAATGTTTCCTTTTGAGGACTTTTTTCATCCAGGGAAACAAACAAAGAAATCACTCAGGGAGAAACTGGGTGAATAGGGAGGGTGGGGCACGGGGGTCATGCCGTTGTTGGTCAAAACTGCTGAACACTGACTGCAATGTGGGCAGGTGCGCTCATAAATCACCCATCATGAAATAGGCAGACGCATTAAAAGAGTCTTCAAAAAATTCACTGAAGCCAAACGCAGCCTCTCACAACAACGCCAGCCGGTACACTGATACAGAGGGGTTCCTAGAACACTCACCTAGTGGGGGAAGCCTGTACTATAAAGGACCTGCCCTCCAGAAGATAATTCTGGTTTTGGGGGGGTCCCCTCATACCTCTGATCACTTATGCCATTTTTTACTAGTAAGAAGTTTATATCCATGTTCTAGGTGGTCTGGCCGTAATCATCGAGAGAAGATTGGGGTCCATGTCGTCTTTGACCAGGTATTAACCATGGAACCTTACTGCTGCAGGGACATGCTCTCCTCTCTTGACAAAGAGACCTTTGCCTATGATCTCTCCGCAGTGGTCATGCATCACGGGAAAGGGTTTGGCTCAGGACACTACACAGCCTATTGCTACAACACAGAGGGAGGTGCGTGCGCTTTACTCTGTAGGGTGGGGGACACGGAAAAGGGTTGGTTTGTCCACATTTCATTTCTTTCCTTTTTATTTCATCTATAGGAGGATGTTACATACACTTAAGTCCCATTGGAAGAATTATGGAAGTTTGATTGGAATTTCTGATATATTACTAAGTAACAACATAAGATTGTTCTAAAAAGTAACAAGAACCGACACATGTAAAAGTGCTTAGCATGTGCCTAGCACATTATGCTCAGTTGATGTTTGAGGTTGTCATTATTATTGACACTGCTGCAGACCTCTGTTTCTTTCTTGGTTATGCAGAAATGATATGACTCATCTAACCTCTTGGAGATACTGTATGAATCTCATTAGCCTCAGCTCCTAATAAAGTTGAGGACATTTACTGAGCATTTACTATGTCTGTACTATATCCCATATGATGATGGAAGGTGTGGGGATACAAGGACCCCTCTCAAGAAGCTTTTAGTCCTTGTCCCCAAGGCAGAGCCGCCCAGCTAGTGGGTTGCAAAGGTCTTTTCAGAAGAGTACTGATCTTGAACCCCTCAGCCCTTGGGCAGCCAGAGTGAGCCTGTAATCAAATAACTTTTTATTCCTCTCTAGATTTTCCTTTATTACTCTTCTCTATTTACATTTCCCCTGTCCTCTTTCTCTTTCCTTTTCTTCTCCTGCAGTCTCATGGCTGTCTTTGTAGAAGGCCAGGGGAGGATGAAAGGTCCGAATACAATTAGGATAAAAAGTGTGGTCAGTTAATATTGGGAGCAATGTGGTGGTGGGGTTTGCTGGGGTAAAAGCCAGTGTACAGGGAAGTCTCTCGGTTTCACTCACTTGTCTCTCCCCCACCAACCAATAATCGAGGGTTGCTCTCTTCACACTCCTCTGTCCCTTTCTTCATCTCCTGGTTTTGCCTGCTGATTGGAAATACAAGTTGGATGGTCATTTACCCTTTCTTTCCTTTGGTTTCCTAGGTTTTTGGGTCCACTGCAATGACTCAAAGCTGAATGTATGCAGTGTCGATGAAGTGTGCAAAACTCAAGCCTACATCCTTTTTTACACTCAAAGAACAGTTCAGGGCAATGCAAGGATCTCAGAAACCCAACTCCAAGCTCAGGTGCAGCCCAGCAACAACAATGAGGGCAGACCACGGACCTTCCCCTGAATGGGAGGCACACATCAAAAACCGGCTTGCTTTTAAACAATTGGTGTCCACACATCTTTCCTCTTATAGGAAGTAAGGTTTACTGCAGGAACAGGTTCCTAGGTTCGCCTCCCTGAGTCTAGAGCTGAAGGTGCCAGGTGACTCATGTACTATCGTAAAATCTGTAGTCACTTTCTTTTGAATGGATTTGGAAATTCCCTCCTTTGATAAAACAAATCAAAAAGGAGTAACGTGAATGAAGATTCTTTCCTCAATTATTTCTGAATATAGAGGGAGCTGGGTAGAGCAAAGAGGGAGGAAATCGATCCTATCCAGCCAGGAGAGGAGCCATGTTTTCTCTCCAGTATGTGACCTTTCTGCTAATCAGGACCTCCGTGCGGCACCAGAAGAACCCTCCTGATGTGAGTAGCCCTGGATGAAGCACGTGAGGAGGGCCCCAGGCTGGCAGCTTGCTGGATGGAATTGGTTCCAAGGCAGCAGGTGAAGTCTAAGGAATTGTTCCTACAAAGGAAGTAACCTTCAAGGGTTGAAAACTTGCAGACTGACCTTTTGGGGGGATAGCAGTTAAAGATTGGAGTGAGATCATGGAGCAAACTTCCCCACACCAAATGGGAGGTTTTTTCCATCTCATGCCCTCCCTGGATGCTGCTCATTTAATCATGCCACATCTTCCGAGACTGACACGACCATCCCTTCATTCTAAAGGAGCAGTTCATACGGGGATCAGTAAACTGGCACACGGCGTGTTCTTTGTTGCTTACTGAGCCTAAGGGCACTCTGGCTACCCAATTCTGTGGCAAATCCTGGGTCAGGTCAGGGTCTAAGGTTTGGTTTAAACTAGTGTTTAAGTCAGTTGTCTAAGGCTTTCTCAGAACTCATTTGAGGGTGGGCGGGAATAGCTGGTGGCCCAGGGCTGCTCTGAATGCCTGTCACCGGTTCTTACTGGTGCAACATGCAGCTTTCTTAGCTCAAAGCTTCTTTCTTGCTACTGGAAGGTTAGAACATTATTGTTCACCACAAGGTTTGGGAGTTTTTGCTTTCCTGGGACTTAGGAAACCTGTCTCCTGTGTCTGAGCAGTTAACTGCCGACGGCTCTGACCTGTTTCCTCCCAATCTGATGACCCCTCTCGTTTCTTCACTGAGCCACAGTGAGTCCACCAGAGAAAGCAAGAGTGCCCCGTCTCGTACTCCAGTGCTAGTAAAATAGGTCTTTCTTTCTAAACTGGGTCAGTTCCTAAGTGAAATGAAATTGCCCAGGTGGAAACCTTGCTCCCCATCAGGCACCAATGAATTTCCCATCTCAGTCCTTCACTTTGACTCGCCGGTACAAGTGAATACAAACTGTAACTCTTGTTGTACAGTTGCTGCAACCTGCCTCAGCCTGTCATATGAATGCTCATCTTTTGACTGAGTATATCATATTCATATTTCAATTCAGGTAGAAGTACAGTTGTCACTTGAAGGGAACAGATGTGGAAGTAAGTTTGGGGAGGAGTCGGAAATTGGGAAAAGAGGATAATGAATAAGGGTCATAGCTTTAGCACTGTTGATGAGCCACATTCTGGAGCAGATGTGTAGCATTTGTTTTTGACCTCTTTTGAGATAAACTCTCCCACAGGATCAGCCAGACAGCACTGAGACATAGAGGAAATTCAGACAGAAAATGGCTTACCCTGATAAGGAAGGGGGGAGTGACTATATTTTAAACTTGCTTTTTCCAACACTGTGAGGTTTCTGTAATATTTAGCTTTTATTTGGAAGCGATAGCGTATAGCATTTTTTATGCTATTTGGTTTATATTGTCTACTGCAGGCTTCTTTGTCTAAGCTTGGCCTGGGCTCGCCCTCTCCTGGACACTGTTTAAAGTGCCACAGCACCCACGCCACCAGGGGCTCTGACGGGAAACTACACTCTCTAGATCCACACTTTTAAGCCGGCGTGGGCGATGATGACTTTTTGTGACAACAGAAAAGGACATTAACAAAACAAAACAAAACAAAACAAAACAAAAAAACACCCAGGAGAGTAAAAAGGAAAGCAAAATGTAAGCTGTGCCTCATTTTTCACTGAATGCAATATTATTCCAGAAAAGGAGAACTGCGGATGGAGAACCAGTAGAGCATCTACTTCATCCTTCAGACTGTCCAGGAGAAATATTTGAGAAAAATGAACATTTAATGAAAAATTAAATGACCTTCAAATTTAATTGTTAAAAATAGTTTTATACCAAATATTATAAGGACATTAAGCAGATTAAAACTTTAGCTAAATTAAGCACTTGTTTTACAAACACCCCTGTATCAAATTAATAAAATGGTTTAAAATGAGTTGGAATAGAAACCAACACCAGAGTCCTCACTGAGCTGCGTGCTCCCGAAGGCGGCCCCGCAATCACAGACCCTCAGGTACCCAGAGGCGGCAGCAGCACCAGGCCCTGTTGAGATGTTCGTATTTATGGTTTTTTATTAAAGAAGAGATCCCTGCTACATAAGTCAATGGCTGTTGTGAGGGAAACGTCCCTTTGCCTTTAATTTATTTACATTTTGGAAGTAGATGAATTTCTTAGCTGCATCTTACAACACTTTAAATTGAAACATTTTAAAGAAAAGAAGAGCCAGGTAGAAGTTAACTAGATGCTGCCAAACCAAACCCAAGATCTCCTGACTGAACCTTACAGACCCGCTTCTCTCCCGGACCCTAGTTAGCATCCCGTTCCAGGAACCCTCAGCAGTTGGCTGGTGTGTTTACTTTCCACTGTAGCCAGCCAAGATGAATAATGCACCCTGGCCCTCAAAAAGGATTTTTACCTCAGTCTAGCTTGACCTTCCTACTTGTGGTTGCCTCGGAGATGAGCATCCATGCTAGCGCAAAAGAGATTAGGAATGCCCTCAACAGCCAGAAACTGAAGCTCTTATTAAATAGTGGACAGAGCTCTTGCCAGCTTTGATCCAGCCCCTCTCAGGCTTGGGGGGTGGTGCCACACTGTAAAGAATTTCCAGATGTCTCTTTAAATGTCATGAATAAAATTGGAAACTATAGAAGTGTTAATGTGTCCTATGGACTCAATAGCAGAGTTTATTTTTGTTTTTAATGATAAGGCTTCTAGAGTCAATGATTGTATGAGTTCCCTTCTCTTCCTATGCTTACAGTTCCATCCAAGTGCAAGAACTAAGGGAGTGGGTTGGCTGGCAGTGGGGATGTGGCCCTAGCCAGCCCCCAGCCTAAGCCTAAGAGGTCAACAGTAGTGCAGAAATGAAAACTTGGTTGGGTGTGGGGGGTGGGATGTGGGTGGGTAGGCAGGGAAGGAGAGATGGAGTTTGTTCTACTTATTGATAAAGCTTTGTGATCTAATTTTATACAATTCATAAAATTTGGTGCCTTGTACCCAATTACGGTTTGCATGGAATTGAACAGATTATAGGATTCCTTCTTGTCATTTCAAGTGGCAAACTGGTTTGTATAGTGTAAAGGACACTTGGTATCAGATTTTTAAAAAGCATTTCATATCTCTTATGTGAAAGCAAATTACTCTTACTAGCAAGGTCTGAAATTTTCTGTAATGTCCAAAATCTGTATTTGTGATTATTCATGAAATGTCTGCTTCTCAAGGCAGACTTTGTACCCCACTCTTTTTAACCACCCTTTTTATGTTTAAAACGTTAGCTCAATCGAGCCTTTTCAAATCAAGCTGGGAGGGCCACCTTTCTTAACCATATACTACACTCCAATCTGGGGGTGTATCTTATGAGCAGAAGGGCTGCTTTTCCAGCTGGTTGGGAGAGCACAAACATTCAAAAAAGGCTTTTTCATTTTTCTAATGCTGGGCAAATTATGGTAGATGTCAAACAAAAATGGTTCCCCCTGAAGTGCTACCTTCATTAGTTCTGAAGTTCTTTTGCAGGAAATTTCAGAAGGCAGTGTAGAACACAATCCCTTATCTGTGAGCCTTTAATTTAGATGATAAAGCAAGCCAGTGCACTGTGTAACATGCAGAAGAGAAGGCTCAAAGAACCTGCCCACCCCTTTCACCCTGCAGATGCCGACTGGGATGGTGCCGAGTAGCTGTGGAAGGTTAAGACCCAGTCTGCTCACCTGCAGGGCTGTTCACAGCATGTCCTTTTACTCCAACCTCACACTTTCCACTGGGTCATGAGATTTCACCAAAGGGTGTTTGAGAAGCTCACCACTCAAAGCACATTTAATAACGGGGTCCCTCAGCCCAGCACTGGTTTAGTTAGGTGAGGAGTTTCTCTCTTTGGAGTAAAACCTTCCATGGCCACTTAGTTTTTTTACTGGGTATGCATCTCTGTGGTGGCTCAGATTCTTTTAAGTTAGCACTACAGCTGAAAGCGCCTTCTAAATGTGACTGTGAGTTTAGTTTTTATCTTCCGCATTTAAATTATCCACATTCTCTTGATCTATGGCTTTGACTTGAAATACTGTGTACTCATTCAACCCATCAATTACCCTAAGTATACTATACATACTATAGCATTGAGGTGAACAGTCATTTTTGTGGATTCTTCCCATACTTATTCTTTTGGCATGTTTTCATTTAAAATCTAAGTAGTGTAAGAGATTTTCATAGTACTGTGTTAATTAGGACTGAAAACTGACAGGATGTAAAACTGAGTTCCCTTGGGAAAAATGTTATGTGTTGGATGGTGAAAGCCAGCACTTTGATTTATAGAATGATGACTCACTGTTATTTTTTAAATTGTAGATTTGGTAGCTTTATTTGCTAGTCTTACCACTTGGAGGAATTAAGCCAATTCAAGTGAAATTTTACCTTACCAGCATATGGCTTTACAATCCAACAGTGAACACATTACTTGAAGCTAAAACATTTTAAAAATTTTTTTAAGTTACCTAATATATTAAATTTTGAATGAAATTTCAATAATGATTTTGAAAGATACCATGTCTTAATTGTTGCTGGGTTTTGATTTTTAACTTTGAAAGTTTTTATGAAATAGGACTACTCACAATTAAGGGATCTGGTAGCAGACTTCAAGGATGTAAGTGTGTTATAAAGAACAGGAGGTGCTCATGTTTGCCTTAGTGTCTGATGCAGGCGGAAGGGGCACAGATCTGTGCTGTGGCTTGAAAGTGTCCTTCCTGATCACCATTTGGAAGTTGATGGCTTCAAACCTAAGCCTTGCTCTCACGTATGTAACCCTTCCCAATCTTAACACCAAGACATAAATCTATCGAATCATCTGTGCTCCCACTCTAGATGCTTAAAGGGTCTTGGTTTCAGCCACAGCCCTGAATTCACTGGCTCAAACTTCTTCCTCCTAACAGATGGGGGGACCTACCTGATTAATACAAGAGAATGGTGCTTTTTAAAAGAAAACATATTTAAAATCTAGTTCTCAAACAGCTTTCTTACTGAGGCTTATGCCAGCAGAGTCAAGAGGAACTATTTTGTCCTATTTATCTTTAGGGAAGAGACTGCTAGAGACATCTGTCAACTGTGACAATTAGGCCACTATGGTACGTTTATACTGACCCTCCTTTCCAATTCATGTCCCTTAAACCCATACCAGTTCCATGAGAGACTTGGCACAGAAAAGCAGTATTTTTTAAAATGCCTACTAGAGTAAATGAACTGAAAAGAGTTGCCAAAGGCAACCTGTCTCTATTTCCACATCTCTCTTACATGAGTGTTTCCAGGCCAGTGCACTACATATTCCATTCCCAAAGAACCTCCAACTCCTGGACAGTGGCACTACCATGAATTTCAGGGTCAGAAAATATTTCCTTGTGAAGGAAGCAGTTTTCTCAGGCAGACAGTTGCTCATTTTTGTGCCCATCACCCAGGCTCACTTAACACCTTGCCTCCCACCTGCTCATCATCACTGTCCTCCTATCATTCTGTTACAGCAACAATGCCTCCCTGGTGCCTGGCAAACCTGCCTGGCACACTCACATGCTATGCAACACCAAATGGCTTCTTCCCCTAGTAAGCTCAAAAATGGATATTCCTCAATAAGGTTCATCCTATGTTAACATCAATGTATGGTGGCTACAGTTTCCATTGCTTTTTTTCCGTTTAATATGAAGCAAACCACCTCTGTCACAATCCATGTTTGGGGCTTGTTCCTGTCTCTTTTGAGTGTGAAATATAAATCATGTTTTTATGATTTTTGTAAATCCAACTTTTTACACCTTGTTTTTGTAAGCTGAAGTTTCTTATTAAAAGAATAAAAATGGCTTTGTGTGTAGTCTTTATTTTGAATAACTGTTAAAATGCCATCAGGTTACTCCTCAAGACGAGCAAAAATCACCCCCTGCGGAAACTTTAGGAACTATGTACAGAAGTTTACCAAACAGAGGACAACACTTTAGCTGAAGCCTGACTGCTGACGAGACAATGGAGTTCTGAGGAGACTCAGCGAAGAAAAATCAGGCAGGAAAGGTACCCCTCTGAGTCAAACTTCAGCTGCCATCAGGACAAGTCTTGTGATGGTCAGGGGCTGGAGAATCTGTGCTTGGAAGGTTCAAGTACAGCACGGGTTCCCTGTGTCTGCAACCAGATAACAGGACGACAGGTGGCATTAGAAATCTAAAAGCACTGGAGGAAAATTAGTAAACTGAAATCCCTTCTAACGTGGGAACACAGTTAACTAAGATATTGCCCGGGGTTTTACATCAAGTCTCCTTCCCATATTTTGTGAATAGCTGATGAAGTTATTGCTCCTCCCAGCCTTCAGGACCCTTACCACACATGCAGCAGTGGTCACGTGCTTACCTATTTGATAGGCTACACCCCTGGCTGAGGTGCCATTAGGTCAATGTCACTCAAATTCCTGGCCAGCCAAACTCCCGCAGCAAAAAGTCCCAAGTTTAGGATCAAGTTTCTAGAAAAAGAGTGTATTCTATTAACCCTGTGGTCACTGAGTGAGTCACTTAGAGGTAAAAAGCTTTCCACCACCCCCCTGGAAAAACCTGAGGCAAGAGCGGGGTCAAATGCAAAGGCCAATTTAGCGCTCGTCCAAGGCCGAAAAGCCCGTTTTTTGTGCTGGCGCCGCCTCTTCCAGTTCCCCTCCCCGTCAGGGTGAAACTCTCTAGACCTAAGCCAGGTAACTGAAAAGACTGCTTCTGCCGCACGGGAACTCTTCCGGTCAAGGGCCTCAGTAAGCCATGGCCAAAACCACTATGAGGCCTAGAAGTTGGCAGTTTTAAAAACCTGCAAGCACCCGCCTGGGCGGAGGAAAATGCGGCAAGTTATGTATACGGGCACGGAGGGGTAGAGAGGGACCAGGCTCCCTGGCCTCGCTTACCTCCGGAAGTCATTCCTATCGGTGGCGAAGCGGTACACGCCCCGAAGCCAATCCCCCACGTTGTCTGGAACTTCGGAAACTTCATTTGCCGAGCCGCCAGGGTTCACACTGACCCCACTAGAAGCCATAGCACACCCTCCCGCTCCGCGAGGTCTCTGGCGTAATCGTGTCGGCGCAAGCGGATGACGCATTTCCGGCCTAGCCCTTTGGCCTGCCACTGGCTACTAAGGGCGCCGTAGCCAGAGTGGGGTCGGTTGTCCGGGAGACACGTCACTCCAAGGACGAGCATCCACGAGCTCTGCAAGAGGAGGAGCGATGCCGGGTCCTGCGGGCCCTACTCCGGTCCACCTCCGGCACTCCCCAGGCCTTCGGCTGGTCGAGCCGCTCACACCACACGTGGTCTCTGAGTGATCATTTCATTGGCTCAGGAGAAGGATGCTGGGGATCCAGCTGTCCCAGCAGGTCGTGTCGGAGTAGGAGCTAGCTCGGCAGGGGCTGCGTAGCTTTGGAGAAGGGAATTCCCCAAGAAAAGTCTCCGTAAAAAGTCACAGAATGCGCGGGCTGAAGAGGGAGTACTCAAATTAGGTCATCTCGCCCCCTTTGACCTAATTTGCTGGGCGTGTCCCTATTTGCACTCAGTCTAGGATTTTTATGGGGGGAGAAGAGTCTGCGTCTAAAGCCTTACAGATCATCCCTCACCCTGACTCCCCCTTCTCCGGGCCGCGCAACTAGCAAATGGTGCAGTGCTTCCTGGAGGTGTCACTGCCCTCAGCTTGCAGGCTTCTGGGGGTCTTGCAGGGAAGGGGAAGGCGTTGGCCAAAGAAAAAGCCTTCGGGTTCTGAGTCAGAGGAAGAGGAGCAGGTGGGGCAGGGGGCGTCCTCCTTGGGATCAGCGGGCGTCTCCAGGGGGCCCTGCCCTCCCCCTTTGGGTGCCTCAGCTTTGTCCCCTGTTCGGCACTCCTGCTCCGGGCTGGTCCCAAGCAGTCCCCTCTGGGTTTCCTGACTGGAGCTGGGGACGGCGTTGAGGGATGCTCCGGAGATGGTCGCGAAGTGTAGTGGATCATTGTCACCTCCTTCAACTCTGTCGAGCCCCGCCTCACCCGCTCCTGGCGGGGTCAGACACGCCTATCTCAGAGCTCCGAATCCTCGCCCAGACCCGGGCGCGGCGTCCCTAGGTAGCTAGGCCCAGCCTCCCGCCCCGCCCCGCCCCTGAGCGATGCGCGCCGCCGCCGCCGCCGCTGAAGCGATTCCTCTATCGGGCTCTCCGCCCCTCCCCGCCTCCGCCCACCAGGGGGCGGCCGCGTCCCCAGTCTAGGCGCTTGTCCCGCGCCGCAGCCTTTACCGCGGCGCGGGGTGGGAACGGGAGGCCCTTGGAGCGCTCCGGCCAGGGATGCGCGGTGAGAGCTGCGGGCCCCGAGGCTCGGGTCTGGGGCATGCGGTTGGCGGACGGGGGGCGCTGCTGGAGGGACGGGACGGCATGAGACCGGGGCGAGGGTTCCAGCCCGGGAGAACTCCCTCCTCTGCCCAGCCCAAGACACTGCCCACTTCCCCTTTGATCTACACCTTTCCTCCCTTACCAAGGGGCGGCCTTTCTTCTAGTGTCTCGGCCGGGCTGGAGCCGACATCCGAATATCGACTCCTAAAGCAGCTGGGGCAACAAGGGCCGCCCCCCTGCAGGGCATAACGTCCTCCGCCCAAGGGCCCGGCGCAGTCTTGGCAGCAGAAGTGGTTCTCGTGCCAGCACTGTCCCTCTGCCTCAGTGCAGCGCCGGGAGAATATCAGCTGGGGGAGGGAGAGGGGAACGGCTCATTCATTTACTCACTCATTCATTCATCCAATAACCACGCCTTATAGCCAGTTAGCGGTAAATCATGGCTACGGACATTCCCATTTGATCAACTCAACCACTCTCCGACGCAGGGAGGGCTGATTGGCTTAGCCAGGATCCCCCAGCTAGCTGGTGGCACAACCTAAAGTGTGACCGGGTCGCCTGGACTCCTAACACAGGGTTCCGCGCGGCCACTTATGCTGATATTAAGGCAGTTCCTCTTGTGATCAGGCACCGCACTGGGCACCCAGTAGACTGATGGGAACGTCTGTCCAAGAATCCCTGCTCCAGAGAAATTCTCCCGGTCCCAGTCATATGGGGGAGACTACCTGCGGGGGGGAGGGGGGGCTTAAAGGGCCTACACGCTCAGAACTCAAGCCAGAGCAACAGGAACTAAATGGTCCAGGCTGGTGCCTTTTTCTCCCTACTCCACTCCCCGAAACCGGGACAGGTGTCCCCTTACGTGCTGCTCAGTTGGACCCTGAACAGACCCTCCACTCAGAGCTGTACCTGGTCACAAGCAGGACAGCGTGGCCTCAGCAGCTCAGCGTGATGACGGCCGCAGTAGAGATGCCCATCGTGGTAGAAGTAGATGAAGTTTATCAGGGCCTGGCCACAGGCCTGGCAGGCAAAGCAAGCCCGGTGCCAGCAATGCTGCTCTCCTGCCAGGGCTGCAAACACTCCATATTCCCCCGGCTTCAGCGGCTCCCTGCACTGCCAAGTGGGGGTGCTGGCAGGTCAGAGGCTGCACCACCTTCCCAGCTTCCCTCTTGGTTCTTGCGTCCCAACCCACCTCCCCTGCAGGTTCACCAAGAACCCCCAAACTTGGTTTCCTTTTTCCTTAAGGTTTGTCAAACTCAATCCCAAACCCCCTTTTGCCACTGGAGTCTCAGAAGCTAGCTCCTTCTGCAGTACTGAGAGGGCGAAGAGTGGAGGAAGAGGAGTATTGGGGTGGAGGGACTACATACCTTCTCACAGGTGCTTTTGAGCTTGGGAGGTACCAGGTTTGCCACTCCCTGTCCCAGGGCCTCCCGCCTCCGCTGGGCACAGAAGAGCCGCAGCTCGGCCAGCTCCTCCTCACCAAGGGCCAGGCAGTATTGCTCCTGCAGAAACAGGTTCCACTGTGCCAGGGAGAGCCCCAGCAGGCAAGATTGAAGTCTGAGTGGAGAGAGAAGGCTTAGCTGCTGGGTCAAAGGAAGGTTGTAGAACTCCAGGGAGGTGCAGGCAATAGCAGCATAGAAGGGTATCAAGATGGAAAGGGAAAGAGGGACAACAATGCCAGTAAATCTTCCTGTCTCACTTCCCCCATCCCACCCAGGAAGGGTCATCATTCCTGACATCATCCACATAGCACTTAGCCCTGTCACCCTATATTTGGGTCCTTGCTCCCAATGAGCTGTGTAGTTCAGTATCACTTCCCATGGTGTTTTCCCTATGTATTCCATATTCTCCTGCCTTGTCTTCCCAGCTGATTATAAGCCTTTATTTAGACTAGGCACACATAGGGCTTCAATAAATACTTGACCACACTCCCTACATTTGTACATTCCATTATTTGTTTCAGAAATCGTTCATGTCCATTTTCTCATTTGCTTTTCAGTCAAGTGCTGTGCAGATAAGTGTACCCATTTTGCAGATGGGAAAGTTCAGGCTGTGGTGGGGGAAAGGGACTGATTTCCCCCAACCAGTGGCATAGCTGGGCCTTAAATCCATGTTCCCTGACTTCTGGACCAAGGCTCTTCAACAATAAAGAAAGGGAGGCTGGGGAGATCGAGACCCACATCGCTGTCCTGTGGAGGGAGTTGCTGCAGGAGCGTGGAGAGCCGAGGCCAGTTGGCAGCTGGGTTGGTGTCCAGGCCAGGGAGCCCCTGGCGCAGAATGGCAGGATGCTGAGGAGAGACCTCTTCTCCAATCTGGAACAACATCTAAGCAAGCCCCTCCCCATTAGACAATCAACTTCAAGATCACTAGGACAGCTGATCCACCCCTGCATTTGCAGTCTAATTGGTGGAGGTTGAGGAGGCCTCACAGCCCAAAACACCCCCTGAAATTACTCTTGAAATCACCCCCTGCACTCGGGGCCGAGCCCCTCGGGTCTGCTTAGGCAACACAGACCCCCAGGAGAGGTCACATGTATTCATGTGAACACATTTCAAGTCACACCCTCAGGTCCTCAGGGGGCTATAGAAACGGACTCCTGCGAGGAGAGAAGGGCCACAAGAGGCAGGGCACGAAGGCTCACTCCTCCCAGCTGGTGGAAATGGGAGGCAGTCTGAAGGGTGGAGGCATGTTGAGCTCAGAAGAAAAGGTAGGGCTCCTACCTGAGCAGAGGCCTCCTCAGGGTCCCCCTGTGGCGGGCGGCCTGGGTCACCGTCTAGGCTCACTGGCAGACCTGGCTCCCGAGTGGGGGGGCTCTCCCCTCGGTGGGACCAGCCAGGGTTTGGCACTGACATTGGTGGCAAAGTCTGCCCGGAAAATAACAAGAAGATCTCCCATTTATCTGGTCCTTACAATATGCTCCTAAGCAGTACTAAGTGCTCTACAGACATTATCTCATTCAATAACCAAGTGAGTCAGGTGGTATTTTTTGTCTCCATTTTACAGATAGCCAAACTGAGGCTGGGTGAGCATACATGATATGCTAAAGCTCATACAGCTGGTAAGTGGCAGAGCCAGATGTTGAGGCCAGGCCTTTTGGCTCCAGTTGCTGAAACTCAAGCTCTGGGGTCTCCCAAGATTGAAATGGAGGAAAGAGGAGGGCATTTTGCCTTTCCCACGAGCCTTTGGGCAGACTGGTCCCTGCTTCCCCACCTCCCTCGCCTTCATGCTCACCATTCCTCATCGAGTGCTTATGAGGCCAGTGAGTCTGCTTCCTCCCCGCTCCCTCCACAGGCCCCAGACTTCCAGCTGTAGGTTGAGCCCGGTGAAAGGACCACTTCACCAGAAGCCCTTCTCAGCCTCTCTGGTCCGTAACCGTTCTCCTTTCCCTGAGCTCCAGAAGTAAGTACAATCAGTGTCCCAAGGTTTAGCACATAATTTTCTCTTTGCTCCTTGTGTCTCCCTCAGCTCCTCATCTAGTCCATAAGCTCCACCAGGACAGAGGAAAATCTTGTGTTTCCATCTTCTATCTATAGCGGCAATTTCAGTGGATAATTCTAAGTGAATCTTCAGCTCTCCTCTGGGCAAGCCCTGGAGTGACCACAGTGCCTTGGGGGTAGGGGCTGACTACTTAAGTGGAAAAGGAACGAGCCCTGCCCACAAGGAGTTCCTAGTCTAGTGGGTAAGACAGAGATGAAACCAGGCAGAATGGGGCTAGAGGTCTGGGCAGGTACACACAGCACCCTAAGAAGAAAAATAACTAGAGCAAACTTTTCTGTTTACTCTGTGCCAGGGGCAATTCTAGAATTTTACATAATATAATTCATCCTCACAACAATCCTGTGAGGTAATTTCTGTTATCCCATTTTATGGTTGAAACAAACTGAGGTTAAGTACCTTGCCCAGGGTCGCATTGGAAGGCTAAGGGGAGCTTTAGGGAAAGGCTGCCCCTGAGAGCTGGGATGGATTCTGAGTGGCAGCAGGTCACAGGAGGGCACCACAAATCCTTGGCCTCTGTAAGACCCGGCTTTGGGGGCGAGAACAGGGTTTGGATACTGCTTCTCAACCCACAGCCCCACTCAGCACCCCCTTCGGATGTCCCCTGCCACCCTTGCCTGCTCCCTGGCCCCACACCCACCTGTTTCCTTCCTGCTCTGTCCATCAGTTCAGGTTTCCTGTGGAAGGCAGCCAGGATGGGCCATTCACACTCAGGACCGGGAGTAGCCACTTCCTGGAACAGCAATACCCCTGCTCCAGGCAGCAAGGGGTGCATGGGGGAGGAGGTCACACAGGAAGAGGGGGAACACCTTGGGCCCCAGGAGGGGGCTTGCACCCTCTCTCCCAGGTTAGCTCTAGTTTGCATGAACTTGTCCCACACAGAAACAATGCTCGGAAACCTTGCCCTTCACCCTTCCATCGTCCACAAAGGCGGCCTGACTCCACCTTTGCTTAGCCCTGGACCCTGCCCTTCTAACATGCTGATTCCTTCCAGAATTCCCCCTCCCCCGGGTCCCCTGAGACCAGGGACAAGGCTGAACCCGTCTCCTGGCTGCGAGCAGGTGCAACCAGGCTCCCGGCGTTCAACCTTCCCGACCCACCCCTGCCCTAAGAGCAAAATCTGAGCTGGGAAGGTTTCCCCGACAGTAAGAGGGAGTAGTGGAGAGGTGTCCGTTCCAGCCAAGTACCCTCTGGGTAGATTCCCAAATTTTTTTTCTTGGACTTCGCGGGGCCCCCTCCTTGTAGGCGGGGCGTGGTGTAGTGTCGAGCCAGCTGGGGTTCCCACTCCGGCTGCTGGAAGTTCAGAGAAGCAGACGGGACTCCGCTGGGTTCTCACCGTCGCCGCGCGCTGGTGTCTGGGCCGTTCTGGACAGACCGCGCTGTCGTGCCCCTCACTCAGTCCCCACCCCGCGAGGCCCAGCGCCCGCCTCCGCCCGCCCCGGGAGCGCAGCCCTTCCTCTCCCACGCCCTCCAAGGGCCGGTAGAGCAGGACGGTTCCGGGAGGGGCCCGGGCTGCAGACTCAGGAAAGTCTTTGTAGGATCCCAGGGTGGAAAATGTGCAGGCTCCACTGTCCCGCACTGCTATGGGCTCAGTGTCGGAATGGCGCCCTTTCGGGCGCCGAGTGGACACCCAGGAGCCTCGTTTATAACCAGTCCTCTGACTCTCGCGGAACAGAATGCCTTTCCAAGCCTGCAGGTGCCCCCACAACCGCTCCTCTCCCGCCCCTCTCTGGGTCCCACCCCTCCAAGTTCCCTCCTCGTTCTCCCCAGGGGGCCATCCGCCCCTTCCCTTTTCCTAGCCTCTTGTACCGCCCTTTTCTCTTCCACCCCTTTAGACCCTTCCCCCATCTTTTGTGTCTCTCCCTCCATCCCCTGCCCCTTTCTGCTCTGGGAGTGGAAACCTCTAGTCCCACTTCTGGTCCCCTGAGTCCCGCCCCAGCTCCCGCCCCAGGCTCCGCTCCCCCAGCAGGGAGCGCTCAGCCGCTGGCCAGGAGCGCCCTCTGGCGTGTGCACAAGCTCCCTGCTCCCGACTGCATAGTCCTCCAAAGGGACCTTCTAGGATACGCGCCGGTCGCCCCTAGCGGGTCTGCCCGCCCGCAGCGTCTCGTTGGTGCCGCCGGTGACCTCCGACCCCGTGGCTGCGGGGCGGGGCAGGGAGATCTTAGCTCCCGGTGGCCGGCGGCTGCTGCAGCGGGACCCGGGAGCGGGGCCCGGCGCCGCCCGGGCCGCGGGGCGATGTGAGTGGGGTGCGGCGGGGCGGGGACTAGGCGGCTCCACAGTGGCCGCGCCGCGCTGCAGTCTCCGCTCCCTTCTGCGGAAACCCCGGGCGGGCGGGGCAGGTGGTGGAGCCCGGGGGCTGGGGGCTGGGATCCGGGGACAACGCGCGTACCCGAACTCCCCCATTCCTTCTCGGTGTCTAGAAATCTCCTGACAGCCCCGCAACCTAAATGCCTCTCACTCCTCAGAACCACCCCACCCCCACTCCCGACACACCTTCGCAGGTCCTATTGCCCTCAGAACCCCTCACTCCTGCTAATTTGCGATACACCCACAGAGCCAGATTCTCTCCTGGATGCCCGAAAATGCTTCTATCGCCCTGAAATTCCTCTGGTTCATCATACCCTCTCCCCATTCTCCTTGCACCATGTTCAAATCCAAAAAACTGTCCACGTTTCCCCAGTCTGCTCATATATTTTGAGTACTGATAACCTCCAGTTAACTGCTGACCCCAATCCAAACCTATCCCAGACCGGAGGCCCCTTCTCATCCAATGTAATCCCCCTCTTTTTGGCTGTCGTGAAATGTCCTGATAATCTTAGAGAGAAGGGGGCAGGAAAAGGTGCACTGCCCTCCTCCCTGTAGTTGGTTCTTGGTTTCACCCCCAGATTCCTTGTTGGTTGGCGGCTCAAGCTCCAGTCTTTTCCCAGCCGCTTGTCTTTAGGCAGTGCGGGCAGTGCGCACCTCCCTCCGCCTGCCCCCACCTTCCAAGGTGGGAAAAAGCCAGACCAAGAGAGTGGGCTTGAGCCGCCAACCGTCCCATTCACCTGGGACGTTTTCCAAGGTTGCAGAGCACAGGGGGCCCTGGGAAACGATAGTGTTTTTCCAGAGAAAAGGGTGGGATCTCGATTCCCCGGGGTCCTGGTCCCTCAGTTTGTCTACCTGGCACTAGATCCCCGAAGCTTTGGTTTATTGTTAGCATTTGTGTTAAAATTTCAGGCCTTTCAAAGCTTGGAGAAGAGAAAATCTAAAAAAGCTTCCAAATGTGAAATTGTCCTAAAAAGGGGAAATCTTCAAGAGGATTGTCCACACACTTACCTTTAGAGGTTATTTAAGCTGCAGGGCTCCACAGTTTACAAATATTTCCCTTAAGAAGTAAGGCCTTGGGGTGGGAGTTGTGGGTGGTCTTGGGGGGTTGATTCGGCAGTCTCTTGGGTAAGTACTCAGGTACTTAGTAGCAACGAAGCAGACTACAGTATTAGTTTCTTAATCTTAAGCTAGCACTTTTTCCAGTCCATCACAGTGTCTTTTTGAGAAACCCCGTTGTAAACTTCTCTGCAAAGGCGAGGAGGTGGTGGTTTTGGTGTCGGTTGTAGCAGGATTCAGGTTGGGGCGTGGGGGCCACTTAAAAGGTCTTGGGCTGCCTCAAACTTCAAACCCATTGATGCTAGGGGAGTGTCTTTCCAGGGCTTACGGAGCTCAGAATTTGGGGTCCCTGTGACCTCGATCTTGCTTATTTATCGGTGTTTCTGTCCCATTAGGACCTGGAACAGATGTCCAGGTGGCGTGGACTGACAACAAGTCAGTCTCATTAACAATTGGGGAGGATGGAATGTGTCCACTAACCTGCAGCCTCTGTCTCCCCTGCTAGGTGAACCCCAGGTGTGTCCCGGAGGGATCCAGGTGACGTCTCTACAGATCCCTTGTCGTGATGCCCCACCAAGAACAGGGGGAATAAAGTGGGGGTCCTTCCCCATGCCCCTCCAATGGTCAGTTCCCCAATGGCCTGGGTGAGGTGAGAGCTGTGTATAGGAGCCACTTTCCTGGAGTTTCCCAAGTTGGGAGGAATGGAGGGTCAGCCTTGAGCAGGGGCTTTATTCCTTCAGTGGTGGTTCTAAAAGGATATGTACTCTTACGGACCCATTTCTTGAAGCAACTTGCAACCCCTTAACTTCTCGTTGGAATCAGTGCATGTGTTTGCTTACTCCCTTAGGTCCCTCAAGCCTGGAGGCACCCTCTCCATCCCAGGCACAAGTCCTGCTATTCTGACATGCAGTCCAAGTGCCATAACCTAGGAAGGAAAAGCCAAGAATATGTCTCCCCTTTGTCCAAAAGCAAACCGGCATTTTTTTTTTTAATGAAGAAATGCCTAATCAAGGTTATAAAATGTGTGCTCTCTTGTATTTTTATTTACTTTTAGTTTTTTAATCCTTACCCAAGGATATGTTTATTGACTTTAGAGAGAAAGGGAGGGAAAGGGGGAGAGAGGGAGCAAGAGGGGAACATCCATTGGTTGCCTCCCATATGTGCTCCAACCTGGTCTAGAACTCTAAACCTAGTTATGTGCCCTGACCAGGGATCGAACCTACAATCTTTTGGTGTATGGGATGACGCTCCAACCAACTTAGCCACCCAGCCAGGGCAAAAAAAAAAAAGTGTGTTCTGTTTTAAACGGTCAATCTTCTGAGTGCATCTTTTGACTGTAATGTAGCGCCTCAGAAGAAGAGAACATCAAACAATAAAGTCGAAGTTGATGTTGGGATGGTAGTGAGGGAGGCAAAGAGGATTTGGATGACGTGGGAAAAATGAGGTGGAAAAGGAGAAAAGTACAAGCTAAAGTGTCTGGGGCTCCCAACATTAATTTCTTTGCTGAATCCGGACAAGGCCCCAGGCCGGCACCCAACTTCTTCTGATGCAAATCACTTCTGGGTCCCTGCTTTTTTTTTTTTTTTTTTTCCTTGTTGACCAGGCTTTCCTTTCCTGTCATAACATCAGCTAAAACCCTATGTACTTCTCAAGGTCTAGATCAAGTGGTACACCTGAGAAGCTTTCCATACCCCTGCCAGCATTAATCTTTAACATGTCCTAACTTGAGTTAATGTTTATCCCTTTTGTGTCTGGCCCTGGGTCGAGAGTGGGAATTTCTTGAGAGAGGGACTGTGCCGCATATTTCCTTGGGCAAAGTAAGTGATCACCGTGAGGTGGTTCTGCCAGTTTCCTGGAGCAGGACTTTGTGGAATTGACCTTGACCACTTTCTTATCTCTTATGCTTTTCCCTAGGGTGGGCTCGCTGCTCTGACACCATGGGGAGCTGTTGCAGCTGCCTGAATAGAGACAGCATCCCAGACAACCACCCCACCAAGTTCAAGGTACCCATAGCCCCCTCTCCCGAGTTTCCAGCATGGTCTGCTGATCTCAGGCCTCGAGCTGTTGAGTTGCCGCAGCCTCTCTAGAGAAGGCGAAATGAGCCCTGGCTGGTGTGGCTCAGTGCGGCCTGTGAACTGAAGGGTCGCCAGTTCAATTCCCAGTCAGGGCACATGCCTGGGTTGTGGACCAGGTCCCCAGTTGGGGGCATGCAAGAGGCAACCAGTAGATGTTTCTCTCACACATCAATGTTTCGTTCCCTGTCTTTCTAACTCCCTAACCCCTCTAAAATAAATAAATAAATAAATAAATAAATAAACCAACCGAAAGAGGGTGAGCCCTGGCTGGTATGGCTCGGTGGACTGAGCTCCGGCCTGCGAACCAAAGGATCACCGGTTCGATTCCCAGTCAGGGCACAGGCCTGGGTTGCGGGCCAGGTCCCTAGTACAGGCCATGCAAGAGGCAACCACACATTGATGTTTCTTTTCCTCTTTCTCCTTCCCTACCCTTCTGTCTAAAAATAAACAAAATAAATAAATAAAATAAAAAGAAGGTGAAATGGCAGGCTGAGGCTGTGGGCTCATAAAGATTTCTTGAGATCAGGCCCTCTGAGGTGGTCTGAGGAAAAGGAGCTCAGGCCGTTTGTTCAGCTCTTAGTACTACCAAGAATGAAGGAATGCTGTAATACAGGAGCAAAATAGGCGATTTTAGGTAATTCACTCCGGTCAGTATTTAAAACAGTGCTTAACACACAGTAATCACTGCATTAGTAGTGTTTGCTGCTTGCTTTGGGAAGCTAAGGCCAGGCCTGGCGGGCCTGTGGGCCTGTACCCGGCTGGTCCCTCCCACCTCTGAGCACAGCAGAGGGGCCCCCTCCTGACTCCCTGCCTATGGGGGCACAGGTTTCTCCCGCTCACCACAAGAGGGAGCCCTCAGAGAGATCCCGCAGTTGGGGAGGCGGGGGAGGCAGTATGTCTTTGTGCTTCTGCAGCTTGATTGTCTCAGGGTCTTAAGTAATCATGTGGCGGTCTGTAGAGTCTGTGGCGAGTCCGGTGAGCCCCTCAGTTCCCCAGCTCCAGCCTGCATCATCAGCAGGCCTGTCAGTGGTTCAGGGACCACACACATACTTGTTACTCATCACTGACCCTCTGTCCCCTACCCCCAGGTGACGAATGTGGATGACGAGGGGGTGGAGCTGGGCTGCGGGGTGATGGAGCTGACACAGAGCGAGCTGGTGCTTCACCTGCATCGGCGTGAGGCCGTCCACTGGCCGTACCTTTGCCTGCGGCGCTATGGCTATGATTCCAACCTCTTCTCCTTTGAGAGTGGTCGCCGGTGTCAGACGGGCCAGGGTGAGTACCATGCCCTGCCTCGCACTCACGGAGGGGCTTGTGCACCCGGGGTCAGGTGCGAGGAATGAAAGTCATGGTGCAGACTAGGCAGCTGTTGCCCAGCAGGAGGAAGGGTCATGGCCAAGAGCACCAGCGTGTTGATGCAGAAGCAAATGGACTCCCAGGCCAGTGCTCTTCTACTTCCGTCTTTGTGGCTCTGGCCTGGTCCCTTTGTGGGGTGTTTATTGCATAGCCCGTGCAAAAGAGCTAGCGCTCCCAGGCCGAGCCTGCTTGGGAAAAGCAGTTGGTTCCTCCTCCCGTTACTCCAGTTTAAGGGTCCCTGTTGCCCCAGAGTAGGAACAATCTTCTGAGCCCCCAACTCATATACCCTAGAGCCCATGAGTAAGGAAAGGCTAGCAGGAGGCTCTAGTGTCCTCGGGGCTGAGTGACTTGGGAATGATAGATTTGGGTAGGTCTCTTGTGTCCCCATGTACGGAGCAACCCTCAAGAGCCTCACCTTTGTCTCTTGTCACCTGTGAGCAATGGAGTGTGACGTATTCTTCTTTCCTTCTCTTCTCCCTGCAGCCAGAGGTTAGGGAGTGTTGGGCTGTGCCATGAGGTCAAGGCTAGAGGCTTCTCTTTTAGGACTCAGCTACAAGCTCTGCAGAAGGAGCCCTGCCTGGGACTGTGCAGGTGAAATGAGTGAGCCCTTTCATGAGGCTGCTAACAGACAGTCTCCGAGGTTGTGTTGCCCGGGGGAGCTGCCCCTGCTCCAGCCTCTGACCCTCGGAGCTCATGAGGCAGAGGCAGTTTGCACTGGCTGAGCAGAGAGAGGGGAGAAAGGGCCTTCCCTGCTTCTGGTGGTGTTTGATCCATACTTGGGATCCTGGAGGGGCAGCCATAGGCCCCAACACCGGGTTCTCCTAAATCTTTAAGCTTTTCCAGCCTTTTTTAACCCTTGACGTATGATAGCTTGCCAGTATATTTGCTTTTTCTCTGCCTCATGGCCCATTCCTGCAAACGCCTGCTGTCCTCTACCCCAGCCTTACTTTATCTGTCTTTGTTCTGGGTGCATGCCCACCCACACCCCAAGTAGCCTCCCCTGAGTCCCAGGCCCCACTGCTCCTGGGTGGTTCAGAATCCTAAACTGACACAACACCCTGAGGGCATCTTTAGGTCCCCCAGGTCACAGGTGCTCACTCAGCCCAGTCCTGCTGACCCTGGGCCTTTGAGTGCCTGCATTGGAGTTTGAGGGGCCCTGGGCCCCTTAATTGTGTGGCTGAGGAGACACGCGATTGTTTTGCTGCATTTGTCCTTCAGCTAGTCAGCCCGCCCTTCTTCCTTGGGGCCAGGGGCCTGTACACGGTGGATATTAGCTCTCTGGTCAGGGTCTGGGCTTAGTATCACTGAGCAAAGTACCCAGTGAATGAGCAGTGAACAGGACAGACCCTCTACCCTCAAAGAGCTTTGGGCACAGAGCTGAGGGCTGGTACCCTGAATGGAGCTCAATTTTCTGGGGAGCCAGGGATAGCAGGCAGAGGGAGACGGGGGCAGCATGTGGACAGTGGCCGCTCATGTAATAGTGCCCTTTTCACTTGGAGTCTCACTCCTCTTCCCCGCAGCTCTGTACACACCCACCCTCAGGGAAGTGACTTGACCTCAGAGGAATATAGCTGAAGTATTAGCTATCAAGATGGAAATAGCTTGCAGGAGGAAAAGAGGAGGGCGCTGGGGCCCAGCTCCTCCCATTTTAGGGAGAGGAGAGGGGTAAGAGGTCGGCTCCCCCTTGAGGTGACAGGAGCTCCCCCTCTTCCCCGCAGGCCTGGGACTGGGGTTCAGGGACATTTCCTGAGCTCTGTACCTCAGGTTAGCCTCTGTGGCTCTTCCCAGTCGGGCACAGGGTCAGAGCAGCCTCATTTCTCCCTCTCCTGCTTCAGGGATATTTGCCTTCAAGTGCTCCCGGGCCGAGGAAATCTTCAACCTCCTTCAGGATCTGATGCAGTGCAACAGCATCAATGTGATGGAAGAGCCGGTCATCATCACCCGCAATAGCCACCCAGCCGACCTCGACCTCCCGCGGGCCCCCCAGCCTCCCAATGGTGAGGAGACCCCTGTCGACCTCAGTACATACTCATGCATATGTGTACACACACGTATGGACATTCACACACACATACACAAAAGCACAGGCCTAGGAAGCCCCAACCAGTCTTGGAGGCCTGAGTCAGGTAGGCCGGTAGGGGGACGGCTGGGTGAACCAGTCTTCTGGGACCGGCGACCGTCCTCAGAACCACTCTTGGGGATGCGTAAGGCCTGACCTGGGCCAGGCAGGTGGTTCCAGCTGAGGCTGGGGAGTCCTAGGACTTTTGTCGACTGATGGTCAGGGAGCAGACAGAAAGAAAGACATTGGACGTCCATGGAAATGGCAGTGGAGCCTTTTGGCTTCCTTCCTCTCCCCCCGGGGGTCATACCCATGTACCCGTGTTGTGCCGTGTATAATGTGCACCCACATGTTTGGACCAGACTTTCAGGGAAGAAACCTTTCATTTTAACTCAATGATTTATTTATTCGTATTTAGATACTTGTTTTTTTGTATTATAAAGGAATTTTAGAATTTATTTTTCAAGATATTACGGAACAAGAAATTTTACGTAACCATTATAAAACACAAGAATAGATATGTGGTATTTCAGGTACTACACACATACAATGCGCATCCTTATTTTAAAACTATTCAAGGGGAAGGGAAGGAAAAAGAAAAACTCATGTCCTTTCCCCAGGCCCGCGCTCATCCACTAGCTACCACCAGGGCCCGCATCCTTATTTTTCTTTCGAAAACCTGGGCAAAAAAGTCCACGTTGTACATGGCGAAGTCCAGCGGCTTTCCTGACGGGTGGCGCAGGCGTCCCCGCCCAGGTGCCCCCCCATTTCCGGGGGTGCTCCCACATCTCTGCTTGTTCGCCACGAGCGCATGTGACGCACTGCTCTGTGCTCTGTGCTCCCTGGGCTGGCGTGTTGGGGACGAAAGGAAATGGAAGCACAGCACTGGTTTCAAGGAGCTTCCTGGGAGCTCACCGGCAGAGCTAGAATAAGGCAAAGGGGCAGTTCGTGATGACAAGGTGTGCCTTAAGAGTTTCAGGTAAGGCTGTGAAGGGCAGCTGTCACAGGGTCCAGGCTGAGCTTTGAGGGGAAGGATGGGGTTTGAAGAACAGAAAGATGACAGACAGTGGGGGACCACTGGTTCAGCAAGGCTAACTACTTTGGGGCCCTGGGAGTGTCTCCCCTCCAACTGGAGGAGCCCCAGGACGCTGCACACGGGGCTGCAGGTGGGCTAAGGACCTCTCTCACCCGGGCTTGTCTCTCCCGTGCCCAGCTCTAGGCTATAACATCTCTAGCTTCTCCAATGGCTTCCCTGGATGCCCAGGAGAGGGTCCGAAGTTCTCAGCACCCCAGCGCCCCTCAACAAGCAGCCTTCGACACCCCTCACTTGGGGAGGAGTCCACCCATGCCCTCATTGCTCCTGATGAGCAGGTGAGCAAGCAGCTGCCCCGCCCCTCCCTGTCGGTCTGGGTGGGGATGGAGGTCAGGAAATAGGGCACCTCCTCCCAGAAAGGATCACGGAGGGAAGAAAATCTGTAGGGTCCCTTCCTTTCCCCAGAAAGGGAGGCAGCTTCTCTGGAAGGTTTGGAGGACGAGGAAGAGGAGGAAACTCCAGCTTCTTCCCTCGTGCTTCTCATCTCTCACCCTCTGGTCCCTTCTGCTGTCCCTCCTCCCTGCCCTTGGACCCCCTGCTTCATTTGGACTTTTTCCCCCCAGTCTCACACTTATGTCAACACTCCGGCGGGTGAGGATGACCACCGCAGAAGCCGGCACTGCCTGCAGCCACTGCCCGAGGGCCAGGCACCCTTCCCCCCACAGGCCGGAGGCCCTGACCCACGAGACCCACAGGCATTCTGGCAGCCGGGCCAGGTGAAGTTCGTGTTGGGCCCCACCCCTGCGAGGCGGCAGGTGGTGAAGTGCCAGGGCCTGTGCCCCGCCCTTCGTGACCCCCCTCACCACAACAACAACGAGGGCCCCTCTGAGTGCCCGGCGCAGCCCAAGTGCACCTACGAGAATGTCAGCGGGGGGCTGAGGCCAGGGGCCAGCTGGAGACTGAGCCCAGAGGAACCGGGCTGGAACGGCCTCGCCCACCGGCGGGCCGCCCTGCTGCACTACGAGAACCTGCCCTCCCTGCCCCCAGTGTGGGAGAGTCATGCCCAACAGCTGGGGGAGGAGGTCGGGGATGACGGGGACTCGAGGGACGGGCTCACACCCTCCTCTAATGGCTTCCCCGACGGCGAGGAGGACGAGACCCCACTGCAGAAGCCCACCAGCACCCGGGCTGCCCTCCGCAGCCACAGCAGCTTCCCTGTGCCACTGACCCGCCGTCGAGGTTCCCCAAGAGTCTTCAATTTTGATTTCCGCCGGCCGGGCCCCGAGCCTCCCAGGCAGCTCAACTACATCCAGGTGGAGCTGAAGGGATGGGGTGGAGACCATCCCAAGGGGCCCCAGAATCCCGCGGCCCCCCGAGCCCCCGTGCCCACCGTCGCCCCTGCCCGCAGCTCAGACTCCTATGCCGTGATCGACCTCAAAAAGACCGTGGCCATGTGCAACCTGCAGAGGGCTCTGCCCCGAGATGACGGCACCGCCCGGAAGACCCGGCACAACAGCACCGACCTGCCTCTGTAGGGACTTCCTCCATCCCCCCCATCCGGCCTCCGCCTCAGCTCCTGTCCTCGAACCCACACACCCTCGGGTTCAGGGGTGCTTTGCAGACGGGCATTGAGGTGGGATCAGAAGCTTCCCTGTGCTGGCCAGAGTCCCCAAAGGTATCAGCCACTGAGTGGCCTGGTCTCCCTGTTGGGGAGAGGAAGGGGCGACCAGGCTCGGAGGGAGCCATTGTGGAAACTGAAGGGTCGTGATTGCATTTAGTGCCCTCCCTTTACGTCCGTTTGTCCTATCTGTCGTCTGTCCTCAGTGTATTTTTTTTGGTTGAAATTTTGAAACATTTTGTACCTGTTGATTTTATTTATCAGTTTATTTTTCTATTTATTGTTTCAAATGTAATTTAACATATTTATTATTAATATAATTATTTTTAAATTCTGGCTCGGCAGACAATAGTGAATTCTTAGGGAGCCTGCTCTGGTGTGGTCCCGGGGCGGCCGGGGGAGGCCCAGTGCGGTGGGGGCTTCGGGCCGGGAGGTTGGGCCGCTGTGGTTTTGTGCGAAGTCTGACCCTTTCCTTTTCCAAGAAGCCCTAGCCCAGGACTCCAAGTGGCCAGCAGTGGGCACTCTGTCCGAGGAAAGTGACAGGACCTGGGAGCCCCACCTGCAGGAAGGTGGTTTGTATGGGAAACTGCCCCAATGGGGCAGAACTCCGCCTCCAAGGGTGGCAGTGGCTGCAGGGAGGGTGTAGGTGGGCGGGCTGTGTCGGAGTCACCCCTGTGAGTGCTCACTGATTCTGTCTCTGCTCCCAAGTGGGCGACAGTGGACGCTACGCTCCTTTAACACCTCAGCTTGGAGGCGTGCCCTGGGTCCTTCTTTGGTGTGCTAGAACATGTTTTTTTAAGATTTTATTTATTTGTAGAGAGAGGGGAAGGGAGAGGGAGAGAAACATCGGTTGGTTTTTTCCCATACGCATCCCGTTCGGGGACCTGGCCCGCAGCAACCCAGGCATTGCCCGGACCTGGCATAGAACCGGAGACCTTTTGGTTTGTAGGATGACGCCCAACCTACTGAGCCACACAGGTCAGGGCAAGGCTAGACACTTTAAACAGGACTTTTACTAAAAGCCCAGAAATAGCAAAAAGAAAAAAACACAGTATATGTCACTAAATAATCTGGCTTGCTAAGTGTCACTTTCCCAGAGAACTGTTCCCCATGAATGGACTCCTTGGGCTGCCTCTACCCACCTGGGGGGGGGGGGCAGGCAGAGCTACTAGTCTGAGCACCTTCCTGGAAGCCCGGGGCCTGCACAGGGCCGCACACACCACCCACCAAGTGCTGCTGTTGCCGGCGCTTGGTCTCCCTGTTCTGAGGCTGCCTCTTTTCCTCCTCTCACCGGTCTCCATTTCCATCTCAAGCCCCTGAATGGTTCATCTCGAGGAAATCCAATGTCTGTGATAAGCCACTCAGGGCCCAGATGAGGAGTGGGAGCAAGATTCATCCAAGACTTAGGGACAAGCCTCCTCATCTCTGGTCGCCATTTGTGCCTCCGCTCTGTCCAGTGGAGCAACACCTGTCCTCCTCACCATGGAAACAGGCCAAGGCGAGGCCCACAGGATTTCCTCCCCTCCTGCTGTCCAAAACATCCCAGCCTGGACCTCAGTTACGGGAGCACCATTTCCTCTGGGCGGGCGTTGAACTGACCAGCTTCCAGAACCCCCGGCCTTGGGTGTCACCCTCTGTCAGTGAAACGGCTGAAGAGGGCTGGCCACAACAGGATGTGAGAGGGGCCCTCACCTGGACTCAGCAGGGGCCAGGGTGCAGCTGCTGCAACCCCAGAGTTAACACCAAACCCTTCCCTGCGGCCTTTTGATCTCTGGACCAGAGGGGCCGCCAGCTGCAGGCTGGGTTTGTTGCACCTTTCCCGCTCTGCAGTGGGACATGCCTTCCTCTCCCTGCAGCTCAGCTGGGCCCACGGGTCTGCTCTCTCCCTGCCCTCCCACGCTGCCCTTGCTCCTCAGCCTCCATGGTTGGGAGTGCTGGTCTCCCCAAACAGGAGAGCCGAGATGGGGGCGGTATGGCTGCACCAGGACCGGGCCCAGGGGCCCTGGCCATGCTAGTGACCCGGTCTGCTCAGGCTCCTGTCACTCATGGACACTGTCATAGGGGAGCCACAGGCTGGGTTCTGGTTGTGACTTGGCTGCTATCTCTGCTCTCTTGAGCATTCAGTTACCTCATATGGCCCTTGGTTTTTACTCTTGGAAATCACAGGCCTAGTTGTGCGAAGTAGCCAATGAGATGGTGTCAATGAACATGACACCACTTTGGAAAGTAGACAGACCTGGGCAAGCTGTGTTAACAGCCCGACTGTTCCCGAGGGAGAAACAAGGGAAGTCCCGGCTCCCTGGTCCCTGAGACCTCAGGCCCATTGCAGCTCCTTTGCTGAGCAGTGCAAGGAAGAGCAGTTCAGCCTCATTCATTACCTGGGGTCCTGGTCAGAGCCTGGTCAGACCCCTGGGGACTCTGCAGAGCAAGTCGTAATCGCTTTACTGCACATATTTGTGGGGTGCGAAGGGGTGTCTGGGAGACGTGTCTCAGGAATCAGCTCCCAGCCCAGTGTGGCCGCCAGCCTTCCCTGCCCCTTCCCCAGGTCCCTGCCTCTGACCCATGAGGTCTGCTGCAGGAATTTTCCTCTGGTGGGGTGGGTGGCGAGTACTGGGTGAGTTTCCTGGTAGGAAGGAGCGGCGGGAGTGACGCCCGGGAGGGTGACCACTGTGTCTGAGCCTGCCCGGCTGACGTCAGGGCTCGGTGTGCAGATGGAATCCGTTTGTCCAAAGATCATCACTAACATCGGTGAATGTTTGCTGAGTGCTCAGTTCTCTTCTTTGGAAACAGGCCCTACCCACTCCCTGGGCTGCCCTCAGGAAAGTAGGGGAGCCAGCATCCTGTGCAGCAGTGACATTTCAGGTTAGACCAGGAGGGGCCCTCTCAAAGCCCACCATTGGGTAATAGGAGCACTTTAAACTGTATAAACACAGTCGGCTCAGCACTCATCTCCGGCTCGCCGGGCGGATTGTTATCACTGACGTGCAGAGGAGGAAACAGGCCACGAGGTGAAGTGACTCGCCTCAGGCCATGAAGTTAATTAGTGGCTTAAGCCGGGGCTGCACGCCAGTCGTGGGGCGTGGGGCTCTTCCTGCCGCAGCTGCCAACCTGGCCCGGAGAGGCCTGGCTCCCCCGGTGGGCTGCGGGGCGGGTGCGGTGGCTGCTGCCCACGGCAGGAGCGGGCTGCACGTCAGCCGGGCCTCGCGAGCTCATTCCTGAGTGCTCCCACTGAGGAATCCTTTGGAATTCCAACTTGCCTGGTCACACAAGGTGAACCTGCTCTCCCCTGGGGCCTAACCAGCACCCACCCCCCTGACCCTGCCTCCTCGGCTCCGACAGTGCCTCCGAATGGCTTTCAATCTGCGGACAGGTGTGCGGGAGAGGCCTGACCTCACCTGCCCCTCCAGCCCTCTCCTGAGGGCGCCTCGGTCTCCCTCAGGCCAGGACTTCCCTGGGCTCTGGGGTGCTCTGTGAACAATGTCTTAAAGGGGACTGCTCACAGGTAGAGAGGGGGCTTATAGTGAAAGGCCCCTGGTCCTCCAGAAAGGCCAAGGAAGGCTGAGGGGAGGGAGAGCCGAGGCAGGAGTGAGGGGGCCCGTGCGGGCTCCCCAGGGCTCCGGAACTGGAGTCCGGGATCTTGTAGGTCAGCTGGGCTAGGACTCACCCAGCGATCCCTTGGACAGGATTCCTGGAGATGATCATTAGGCTTCTGCTCAGACACTCCTCAGGACCGGAAGCGCACTGGTTCTCACGTTCTCTTTCCACTTGGGTGGCCCCTAAACTGCCCCTCGTTGGGTCCTAAGTTTGCTCGGGGATCTACACACAGCTAAGATGAGTGTCCCTGCCCTGGGTGCGGAACTTGGAGACCTGGCCTCACCACTTCCTAACAACCACACCTCAGTGCCTCAGCTTCCTTGTCTGCAACACGGCGACACTAATAGCCCCTCATCATGACATGGTAGCGAGGGTCAGAGTGGCTGCCTAGTGGGACCCACAGCAGCTGCCCATAGGAAGTAAGTGTCAGTAAATGGCAGATATTTTCACCCAGATGTGGTTCTTCCCGGCATAACAAGAAAGGTCTCCACACCTGCGTGCTCTAGTTGGCCCCAGAACTAAGTGTAGGACCCGGGCCTGAACCTCACCTCCCTCCAGCCCAACATCCTCCTTGTTTTAAATGTATTTCTGGTGACACTGCTAGAGTTAGCATTCAGTTCATTGGCCCTCCGGCTCTGAGGGTCTTCGAGCTGGCCTAAACCACCAGGCCTTCCCAGGTAAGCATCTGCAGTCCTTGGCTCTTTACATCAATATCCCAACTGCCCGTCATGCAGGTGCCATTTTTTTTGTTGTCAGTTCAGGTCTGTCCTGAAGTTTAGGCCCCTGCTCTGGCAGTGGACATGGAAGAGAGCAGAGATGGGGCAGGAGGAGGTTCTCCACGGGTGTGTGTCATGAGGCTTTGCTGCGGCACCCTCCGCTTAGCTCTTCTGGAAGCTTCCCTCTGCCTGCCAGTGGCTGGTAGGAAGCCTCGCTCACCAGGTGGACGCTTCCCTGGGCCTGTCTGGGCCCAGGTACTTTGAGGATGGCCGTTCCTGCCTGTGGTCCCTGGGCACGCATCACTCGTGCTCCAGGTGTGGGCTGCGCTGGGCTCGTTCTTACCAGATCATTACTGTCACGACTGAGTTAGTGAGCAGTGTGGGGTAGGGGAACCTTAACCCCACCTGGCGCCCGCTGGCCGGTGGGGAGTCTCCTCAGCCATCTCTTTTCCCTCTGGGCTGCCTCTTTAGCTGGGAGGCGTGGTCCCCTGAGGGTCCCTCCCTGCCACCTCTCCACCTGTCCCCCTTTCATCTCACCTCATTTCCCTCTAGGTGAGAGGGTACCAGAAAGAGTGTGGCCAGGAGAAGATGGGGGGTGTGAGGAGATGGGGAAGTGGGGCCCCGGTTCTCTGGGCAGAAGGAATAGAAGTGTAATGAAAGCGCTGATCTTGACTGGGTGCCACTTGGGCTGGGGCGAGCCAGGCTGCTGCGTCTGAGAACGGTTGGGAGGAGATGGAAGAAGCACCAGGGCAGGGGCACCGGGCTGCGTGCAGCTGGGGAAGAGTGCGCAGGTGTTCTCTGAGGCTCCTCCCCTCTCTGGCCCTGGGCTGGTTCTGGCCTCTTTCCTTACTGAGCTCCTTTTCTCCTGCAGTTAAAGGGCCTGAGGAGCACCCCTATGTATTGATATATCGAGGTAGGGAGCGGGTACACGATGTGTGATCACACAAGTACAGTGGCTTTGACTCCCCAAGAAAACTTGGGACACTGCGGGTCCAGGATT